GGTTTCTCTTGTAAGGTTTCTTTTTTATTTTGTACAATCCTTTTTCATCTCAAAATTGGATTGGCTAAGACTATCGGTCCACAGATTATTATCGATCAAATCAATTCATTACACAAATCTTATAATTTGGTTATATTTCAAAAAAATTTATTTCGAATCTACCAAATGCTTCAAAATATCGAATGTTTTAAAAGTAGCAAAATTCCAAATTTATTTCGCTTATTTAAAATCATTTTTAAACTATTATTAGCAAAAAAAATTTCATATTTTCTTTTTTTTTGTTTCTTTAAGAACTTTTCATCTATGCTTATCGATCAGCACTTCTTAACACTCGAAAGACGGAAAAATTCGAATAAAATTGAGTAAATTGTGAAAATATGAAAAAAAATAGATTGGCAAAAATTAAGCGAGAATTCTTTACGAAAACTTTGGAAAACCTTCAATATTTCTAAATACATCGCTTCATCTTCAAAATTCATCTTTATTTAAACAAAGTTTTATAATTTTAAGATTGACTGAAACTACTTGTTCACAAATTTCATTGAAACTTAATAACGGCTTTCGTTTTTCTCAAAATATTTTTATTCAGGATATTAATAAGGGAATTTCTATATTCAAAACATAATTCCATACTATATATGGCTGTGCACCTTGGAAAATCCATTTCGCTGTTTTGTCGATTTCGCTATTTTGTCGGTTTAAGAATTCATTTTAAGAAAATTCGTTCCTCGGTTATTTTTGTCATTTCGCTCTATTGTGATAAGCGTAACTCTCATTGCTTTACTTCAAAACTCGTAGTTTTTAGCAAAAAAAATTTTTATAATTTTGTGATTGACTAAAATTGCTTATGCAAATTTCCTTAAAACTTAATAATTGCTTTCTTTTCAAAATTGTTTATATTTTTTCTAAGTACAATCCTAACATTATTAAAATAGTTTTTACGAATATTTAGTAGTAAATTAATTTTTGCTACTCCTAAATTATTCATTTTTGGCGTCCCATATACTTTTTTGTCCCACGAGTATTCTAGTAATTTTCATGGATTGAAGGTAATTGTCTCCTTAGTTTTTTACAATATTTTAGACTAATTGCAATCGTTTGATAAAACTGTGAAAATATGGAAATAAAATTTCAAAAAATCAAGAGAATAGGCAATGTGGAAAATCATAAATTTCGATTTCAACATAATTCTCATCAAAGATAATCCGAAACTATATTGCAATAGAAAGATTTATGATCAGTGATTATTGCTCAATAATTATTGTGTAACAAAACCATAATTTAATTCAAAATAGTCAAATCACTGCGATAATATTCCAGAAAACAGTTAAAGAAACATATTTTCGTATTTAATATAGAAAGCAAGTAGATTGTATTAGCAACAGATCAAACATTAGCCATTTCGTATTGTTAGCATTTCGCTTGGAAAGATGCCTACAAAGAATCGCTGCAAAGCAAAGCGCTACCATTCCCGGATAGATTTGACGTGACCGTCTTGCCACACCAGGCAAATTTTGCAACGAAAGGACAGAAATATGAATGAATGGGCAATAACACAGTTAAATACATATATTAGGCATATAGTTTTTTTGAAATGAGAAGAACGCCAGAATCTTAGGAAATTACTAATGAAATATGAAAATTAGAAATTAATAAAAAAGATTCATAAAAAGATTTATTTTTAAAATATTCTGAAATAACTTAAAATAACTGCGATTTATAGGAATGCAATGACAAATCAACCAAAGTACTTCGAAAATTATTCCAAAAATCAAATTTTTTCAACAGTTCATTTAATGAAAATTCATTGATCGAGCATTATAGTATTAAAATTGCCACGTTTTAATTCAGATTTATCATTTCGTAATGATTTTATTGGAAAAAATGGACAAATGATTATTCTATTTCTGTAGCTTTTGGAATACTCAAAGCTACTACGCATAATTATTCAATTCGCAACAGAAATATTTAAATGAAATTGTAGAAGAATATCTCACGAAATGTTTTTTTTCATTAAAGATTTTCATGCGCTGAAGAATTTTAATAAAATTTTATATAGGAAATTGAATTTCAAAATAAATCTCTTTGCTGATAAATTCTTCAGAACTAAATTAATTTCTTTCCTACAATCTAACTCGTATCGTTGCCAATAAAATAATAAAATTAAAAATGGATGAAAAATTTAGAAATATAAAAATTTAGTAAATTTCGGCATTAAAAATTTGAAATTCAATGATGTTGAAAGAAATTCAGTTTATTTTTTAATTCCTAATTCTAATTCTCCCCACTTTTTTTAAAATTATTTAAAATCATTTTTAAAATTTTAAAATTTTGTAAAGTTTCGGGTTTGTACGAAAATTAAGATTGCGAATGCCAAATTTTATATATTTCTAAGCATATCTACGAATATTTTATGAAATATACATCGAAAATTGTCCATGTGATTGCAATTTATTTTTGGGTGGAATTAATTAAAAATTCAGTATAAAATTAAAATAGCACATCAGTCATTCTTAGTTACCCTCAATAAAAATTTAAAATTCAGTTACCCTCTTTCAATACTTCAATATGATTATTCGCACTGTTGCTCTGGTATAATTTTTTTTTAAAAGTTTTTTAATATATAACATTATTGTAAAAAAAAAGAAAGGACTAACATGATTTATGTTTAGCATGATTTATTTACTGTTTAACGAAACGCTTTTGGTTTTTCAAGTTTTTTTAGCAAATTAAAAAATAATTGTGATAATAGTCCTCCACACTCTTGCATATTCTTACGTTTTAATGAGACTTTAATTTTCATCGTTTCTTTAGGCCCTTTTATGGTGCCTTGGGCAATCATGTGCACGAATTTATGACCCACTTTGCATACAGACTGGTCGCAAATGTGGTCATAACATGGTCTACAGAACTGTGGATAAAATGAAATACACTGACGACCTATCACCTGAACTGATATGCATTCAGGAATGCGTATGCATCAGTGAACAGTATGAAAGAAAAGATGGACAGTGCATTGAAAAGAACGATATTCCGACGCGAAACGAAGTGAGATTTTTGTTACCTTGAATGAGCATATGGCTTAAAACGACGTCAGTCAATTTTAGGTCATTGATGCCTGAGATGCCAATTTATAACCGTCTAATTCCATTTATCCATTTATCCATACTGTGCTTTTCTGAGTTTACTTCTAAAGTTCCACGCATCCACTTTAAATCTTTCACTACAGCCTTACTTCAATGGTTCTTTAGTGGCCCTATCATCTAGCGTAGTATCATCACTCATTTTAATAAATGTTTTCTAATTAATAATAAAAAGGGTGGCCTACAATTGCCTTCTCTCGCGCAATATGAATACTTTTGCCATTTTCATTCATCTGTCTTTGACGCTATCCTAATATAGATTAATATTGATTTTTGCTTCTTATAGTTTACGAACTGGGTGACACTACTAGGAAAACGTATATGCTCCCTGTATATCTCATTCAATACCTCTGAAGCTGTTGCAATGAAGGCAAAGACAGAGGCCTGGAAACAAGAAATCGTCATTTCGCTAGAATGATTTACATGATGAATGTTTTAAAATAAGAATCCAAATTATGCCTAATATTACTGCTGAAATACAGAAAATCCCCCTTTCCTCAAATAAATGCTGATTGGACACTTAAAAAAGATTCAAATTACAAATATTTAAAAAAATTACAAATGTTTACGAATATCAGCACTATTCCAAAATTTTTCCGTTATCTTTCAGCTCCCTGTTGAAGTGCCAACACTAAGGGCTTGCAATGGAAGAACGTGTACACTCGGCGAAATAATCACTGATATTATGTACTCATTGACAGACCAGAAATGTGGACCAAATATGGTCTTTAAGAACTTAACTGGACCTTTAATTATGAAAGCTGGTATGTCATCATATAAGATTTGTATTCAACAGTGCACTTGCGACAGTAATGAATACACGAAAATGGGTGGACAGTGCATTAAAAAAAGTAGTGCTCCGATGCGAAACGAAACTGAGGTCCTTCTTACTGATATCAGAGTTTCGATTATTTAGCACAGTTAACTATTCAATAATTATTATAAAATTATTATTGAATGATAATTTTAGAAGTCCATTACAATTAAACAAAATAGGTCAATAGTTAGAGAATACAAAAAGTACTAAACGAACCAAAAAGGGGTACGGTTTTGTCAATTTTTCAGTTTGCTGGTGAAATATTGCCTAAACACTGCGCGGGAAGAGTGTGTACACTTGATGAAGAAATTTTCTATGTTCCATGTTCATTGACTGGTGAAATTTGTGGAAGCAATATGATATTTAATAATATCGGCAAATTACTCAAAAAGAATGGTACTGAAGTTTGCGTCCAAAAATGTACTTGTATGAGTGAAGAATATGTCAA